CCAAAGATACCCCAGGCAGAGATAAATTAAAAATATTCTGTTCCAAAGAAGCCCCCCTTCAATGCCTCACTCCAAACGCAGTGAGCTATTTACTCTGTTTCAGATCTTCTTGGACTCTGCAGGAATTTGAATGAGCCATTCTTTAGACTCTATCCTGGGTCAGGAGGGAAGATTTTCATCACCTGGTTGACTACTTGTACTTGGGATTTCCACTCCCCACTCTCCCCAGTTTGAGCGGAAGGAGGCCTGGTGGTGCAAAGGTTAAGTACTGGGCTGTTAACCGAAAGTCTGGCGATTTGAACACACGTAGCGTCTCCGCAAGAGAAAGACTTGGTGATCTGCTTGCGTAAAGATGACAGGCAAGGAAACCCTATGGGGCAGTTCTACTCTGTCACCTGGGGTTGCTGGGAGTCACAGTCAAATCAACGGCACCCAACAACAACAGTTTGAGGGGAGGAAAAAAAGAATCTTTGCTGAGACACTCTTGAGAGCTAATTTGTGGATTTCCTGCCCACTCCAAGGAGCACTGAGTCCCCAGGTGATGAAGGAAGTCAGCAGAAGGCCTCCATGCTTTCCTGGGGATACACGCTGACCTCAGACTGCTGTCATTCATTCACTGAACACAGGCTTATGTGGGAAGCCCGTCCTACATGCAATAGTGAGTAAAACATAGTCCTGCCCACAGGGAGTTTACAGTCTAACAGAGAAGACAATTAAACTTTCAATTAAGAGTAACATTTCAGCGTTAGAATAAACGCCTTCTCCTTACCCCTAGGGGCCCTGCACCATCTGCCCCTCCCTCTCTCTGAACTCATCCTCTGCCACCTGCTCACCTTTTCCAGCCACACCAGCCATCTTGCTGTCCCTTGAATAGCCAGCCTTGTTCCTGACTCAGGGTCTTGGCATCTGTGTACCGTCTGCTTGGAACACTCTTTCCCCAGTTCATTTAAGTCTCTGATCAAATGTCACCTCCTCGGAGAGAACTTCCTTCACCATCCTAGTAAAAAAGTGCCCCTTCCATCATTCTGTATTCTCACCCCCTGCTTGGTCCTTATCATGATCTGAAGTTAAGCCAGGTGCTGACGATTGTCTGTCTCCTCATCCGTGTAAGTGCAGGAGGGCAGGCCTTCTCAGTCCTATTTGCTGCCATTTTCCCAGAGCAACGCCTGGTAACAAACTGGTGCTCAATCAAGACTTTTGTCAAATAAGTACAGTGATAAGGGGAGCATGGGGTGTCAAAGGGACTCGTTCTGCAGTGATGTGTGAAGGTCTCCCAGAGAAAGCGACATTTGTGGGAGTTACCCAGGTTTTTAGGGGGAGGGAGCGCCAGAGGAGGGGAAGCAGAGAAAGCAGGGAAGGGTGGCCACAGAAACTGCATCAGAATGTTGGGCCAGCAATTTCTGGATGATTGCAAAACCTTTAGCAAAAGGCTAAAGAGGTGAGAAAGAGTCCCCACATCTGGCCTTCAGCAAAGTATCTGCTGACTTTGGACAGAGCTTGCCCCCAGCAGAGCGGCCCCCAGAAATGGCTCCTCAGGGAGACTGGCCATTTAGAGAGAGAGGTACTGATGAATGGCGCCATCTTGTGGCCAGAGTCCTTAGAGTGAGTTGCCTGAGACTATGGTTTCAGGTGTCTGGCCCAACACCTCCCATCTCTGATTCTCTCTTCCCCTTACCAAAGAACAAAAAACAACCCACTGTGGCAAGGTTGATCCTTTGGTAAAACTGCTCCTCAGTCTTGGTATTTTTAACTATTTTATCTTGTTCAGAGGTCTGGGCTTTGTTGGACAATCGTAACACTAACTGAGCACCTCCTCTGTTCTCAGGACGTTATGTATATGGATTCATTTATACTTCACAGTCCTGTGAGGTGACTATCAGTGTCCCCATTTCCCAGAAGAGGAAGGTGAGGCCCTGGAGAGTTAAACAGTGGCCCAGGTCGCAGGGTTAGTAAGTGGTGGAGGCAGGCTCCCCACCCAGGCCAGGCCATCTGGTTGCACAAGCCCTGCTCCCCACCGTGGCCCAGAGATCATGAGGGAAGAGAAAGGCCTGGGCAGCCAGGGAGAGGGAGGAACAGCAGGCTGGTACAGAAGGGAACAAATGCCTGTGCTTCCATTGCGGCAATCACCTCCCCACCCCCATAAGCTGCCCCCAGAGGACCCGGAGCCAAAGGAACCACCAATAAAATAAGAAAAACTCCACAGCCAAGGACAGCACAGGAAACAAACTTGAGCCTCCTGAGTAGCAAGGGGCACGATGCCAGAGGTGTCACTGTGCCAGGCGGCCTGCCCCAATCCTGGGCGGGAACAGCCCGAATGCTGCCGGGCCTAAGCGCGTGGCTGTGCCTCTCAGTGCGTTCACCATTTATGGTATCTGAGCCTCTGTTTGGCCTTCACAGGCCAGTAAATCCCCCACACCAGGAGGGAGTTCTCACTTAGGTGAGACTGTTCTTACAGCAACTCCAAACAGCCCTGGCTGAGTTCTTGCTGGGGTCCCCTGTGTTTCTGCTTTAAAACATGCTTGTGTGGGTGACCAGCAGCCCCAGTCCCCAGGGGCAAGAAGAATGGCCCCTAAACTTCTTGATCCTTCTTCTGGGGACCCCCACCTCTGATGGGACTATTGCTCAGCTGGGCCTCTCTAATCCAATCTAAACAAAGGCAACTAGGGACAGGCCCTGGATTAGCTGGGACGTGGGCTGGACTAGCAGGGAGCAGCTCAGCACGCCACTCTGACTCTCTGCCTAGCACTGGATGTTGGGGTGGGCTCACTGGTCACCAAGAAGGACCCCCTGGTAGGAAGGTGATGGGGGGAGCTGAGAGCTGCTCCCCTGGCCCTGGAGCTGCCGTTCAGATCTGTTCTCTTTCCTCTTAAATCTTAACACCACCATTTCCCAGTGCCCCTCACAGGGCCACGGAACTAGAACTGTTAGGACAAAAGGGCTAAATGCATCAGCCCGAATACTGGCGGACAAAGTCCCCAGACCAGAGCCAGGCTCTGACCCACGCGGAGGGCTTCCTGGAAGGCCAGGGTAGACAGTTCATGGACGACCCACTTCAGAGAAGCCAAGGCACGTCAGAGAAGTCGGGAAGTCCAGGGAACGTGCCCACTCCCAGCAGAGCACTTCACGGAGCCAGTGTTGGCCACATTTTGCATCGGTGCCAGTTCCTTTATCCCTCGGGATTGGCACTGCCCAGCCCAGGTGGCCAGCCTCCTGCTTTGGGCCAGAGGACTGGCAAGCAGGAAAAAGGGCACCACACAGGGATAAGCACAGGCTTCAAAGTCACAAGGACCTGGGTCCAAAAGCCAGCTTCCTTAGTAGCTTGGTGTGCTTGGGTGAGTTACATTAATGTCTCTTATTTATTTTTATTATCGTACTTTAAATGAAGGTTTACAGAACAAACTAGCTTCTCATTAAACAATTAGTACACATATTGTTTTGTGACATTGGTTACCAACCCCACAACATGTCAACACTCTCCCTTCTTGGCCTTGGGTTCCCTATTACCAGTTTTCCTGCCTTCTGTCCTTCTAGTCCTTGCCCCTGAGCTGGTGTACACTTTTAACCTCATTTTGTTTGATGGGGCTGTCTAATCTCTGGCTGAAGGGTGAACCTCAGGAGTGACTTCAGTACTGAGCTAAAAGGGTGTCCGAGGGCCATAGTCTCAGGGTTTCTCCGGTCTGTCAGGCCAGTAAGTCTGGTCTTTTTCTGTGAATTAGAATTTTGTTCTACATTTCTCTCCAGCTCTGTCTGGTACCCTCTATTGTGATCCCTGTCAGAGCAGTTGGTGGTGGTAGCCAGGCACCATCTAGTTGTGCTGGACTCAGTCTGGTGGAGGCTGTGGTAGCTGTGGTCCATTAGTCCTTTGGACTAATCTTTCCCTTGTGTCTTGTTTTCTTCACTCTCCCTTGCTCCTGACGGGGTGAGACCAGTGGAGTATTTTAGATGGCCGCTCACAAGCTTTTATGACCCCAGACGCTACTCACCAAAGTAGAATGTAGAACATTTTCTTTATAAACTAAGAGTTATATTAATTTCTTGAGACATCCAGGCTCTTCTGTATAAGATGGGGACCCCCCCCCCCCACCAAGCTGAGGTCTAAACAAGATAGTACAGGCAAGATGAACATATTTCACACTGTAACCAGCAAATTTTTTTTTTTTTTCCTCAGTGAAACCATCTCCTGCAGCCTCCCAGAAAGTGGCTGCTGCCACTATGGGGGACTCTCCCCAGGGGCCTGAGCCTGGGAAACAGAGGAGATGCAGTCTCCTGCTAATCTGATGGGCAAAGCAGAACACACCCTTCCCAGTCCAAGTACCCAGAGGACCCAGCCATGCACAGTAACTGGGGCCCAGGGCAGGGTGAAGTGGGAAGTCAAGCTTACCTGAAAGCCCTGGGCCCAAGCAGCACCTCCCTGGGAACTGTCACCATGCCCACCAACACCACAGCCCAGAAAGATCTGTCTGGAGTCCCCGTGGCTTCACTGGGATTTCCTAGGACTAAGTGCTTGGAGCTGATCAACAGATGACCATGTAATCAGATTACTCGGACATCAGGCAGGTGGTGGACAAAAACAAGCCCAGAGTAGGGGGGCAGAAGGGGGGTAACCTGTGACCCTCAGAAGCCTTAAAACCCACACTCTGTTACCCATTGTCCCCAACCCTTAAGGGGCCATTCATGAGACTTGTGAGGCCTAACAGAGATATGAGTTCTCCTCCTGAGTCCCCTTTAAGTGTATGCTGTTTGTTTTCCCACCAGACTGGGAGGTTCTTGAGCTGAGGGAGCCCTCGCCTCTTTCCTCACATCTTCCCACAGCCCCGTGGGGTGGGGTAGTTGTGGGGGGGTTGGCCTTTGCATGTCTGTCTCCCATGGCAGATTGTTGTCACTGTGAACTCCTGGAGGCCATCTCCTCTACCTGCCCGCCTTCAGGTCTGCTGTCCCACCTCCACAGCAGATGTGTCTACAGGTAATGTGCTCCTAGCAAGGTGCCCAGAGGCTCCTACCATGGACGGTGACCCGGGCACTGCAGGATGCCTGCCCCAAGGTGTTCTCCGCTACACAGGAATAGATGCCATGGTCCTCCGGCAGGGCATCCTGGACGTGGAGCTCAGCCACGCCGGCCTCGCAGCTGGAGTGAGCATACTGGATGGGCTGCCCTGTGGGGGGAAGCACAGGAGGCTCAGACCCAGGAGCACCATGGTGCGGACAGAAGCACCACCGCCAGCTGTTGTGATGCTGACGATGGTCATGCCGCTCACATCTACTGAGGGTCCATCCCAGACGGGCTTATAGGTGGAGAAAGGCAGGCACTAGGGCTACGGAGGAAAGGAAGCATTACTGTGTGAGGCAGAGGAGCCTGACTGGGGCTGGAAGGATGCAAGGAAAGGAATTCTGGGGGAATTTAGAACTCAGGAGGGAAAGGGACACCATTCTGGGCATTCTGTCTTAAATAGTCCCCCAATCCACACACTCCCCTTCATAGAATTCTGAGCCTGGAAAGAATCCTACAGGGTCAGCTGGTCCACAGTCCAACCTCAGGCAGAAGAGACCTCGCCCAGACTGAAGTCGAGGCTCCCACTTCCTTTAGACGTCTCCAGAAACGACATTCCATTCCCATTGCAGATATGTATCAGAAAGCAAGTCTGGCCACAACGTGATGTTGCAATTAGGTGCCTTTCCTCTGTGCAATTTGGTGCATTTTAGGGCTCAAGGACAAGCTAAGTATGGGGCACTGAAAACGACTCTGGCCCCTTCTTCCCAGAGTCCCTTCTAGGAGAGGGCTTTACATTCAGGCCACATAAAGTCCTGCCTGGAGACAGAAGTGCATGCAATGAACTTCTGTGGCTTCCTTAATACTATATGTTGTTCCTGGGACTTTTGTCATTCTAGGATGTAAGTTTTCATTTCTAGGAAGAAAAAAGAAAATCTCATTACTGGAGATTCTGGCCTTAGAGCAGGAATGTGTCCACTCGCCATATAGGAAGCAACTGTCAGCCTGCACTTCATAAAAGTGGGGGTGGGCGGCGAGGGCGGAGACAGGACAAACGAAGTTCTCCCCCGTATGCAATGTTTTCTTCTGCACACAGCAACACTTAATGTCTCCCTGACAGTGTGGCAAAGGGACTACCCAGCATGCCATAGGACCGTAGGAGAGATTCTGCCCAACCTACTACACTTCATAAAAGTGGGGGCGGGGCTTGGAAAGGCAGGGACCAGGGTCCTGATGCTGAGAGAATTGAACGCTGCTCTTTGTTTTATTTTACACCCCAAACCCCTTCTTCACTGATAATTCCCGAACATTCCACGACTGCCCTCAAAGTGCCTCTACTGCCAAAACATGCATTGACAAGTGTTTTGAGAGCCATCCTTTTACTGGTGCATAATTCATTTTAGCCCTCCAAACATGGGATGGAATAGTGGTCCCAGAAAGGAGTTGTTGGTTTAGGGCACATCAGGATTGGGAGAAAATGAACGCTTCCAGCTCCAAGGCTGCATGGTACCAGTTGGCTGCCAAGGAAACCCAACTTAAGCATGGGCGCCCTCTAGTGGGAAGGATGTGGAAATGCCAAGATTCAACATGAATAAGGTGAGGTAGTTTTCAAGTTCTGAATGGTTTAGATCAGGGGTCAGCCAACTATGGGTGGTGGGCAAAATGTGATCCACACATGTTTTTGTATGGCCTGTAATCTAAGAACAGTTTTACACTTTGAAATAATTGAAAAACTCTAAAGGAGAATATTACATGATGTGTGAAAATTACATGAAATTCTAATTTCTGAGCCCAAAAGTAAAGTTTTATTGCAATACAGCCATGCTCATTCATTTACATATTATCTATGGCTGCTTTTGCGCTACAACAGCAGAGGTGAGTAGTTGCTACAGAGACTGTATGTCCTGCAAAGTTGAAAATATTTACTATCTAGCCCTTTACAGAAAATGTTTGCTGGCCCCTTGTTACGATTAAATTGTGTCCCTTCAAAAATGTCTGTCAACTTGGCTAGGCCATGATTCCCTGTATTGTGTGGTTGTCCACCATTTTGTGATCTGATGTGATTATCTTAGGTGTTGTAAATCCTAACCTCTATGATGTTAATGAGGCAGGACTCAATCTACAGGATTAGGCTGTATCTTGAGTCAGTCTCTTTTGAGATATAAGAGAGAAGCAAGCAGAGAGGAGAGAGACCTCATGTCACCAAGAAAGAAGTACCAGGAGCAGAGTGTGCCCTTTAGACCCAGGGCCCCTGCGCTGAGAAGCTCCTAGATCAGGGGAAGATTGATGACCCAGAACCGACGGAGAGAGAAAGCCTTCCCTTGGAGCTGGTGCCCTGAATTTGGACTTCAAGCCTGCTAGACTGTGACAGAATAAATCTCTGTTAAAGCCATCCACTTGTGGTATTTCTGTTATAGCAGCACTAGGTAACTAAGACACCCCTGGTCTAGACTATCAGCCATAGAGAAATGAATCCATTTTACCCAGATCCATTGTGATCCCTTAATCTCCACTTTCTGTCCAGCTGCCAGGCAGCTGCCTCCTTGCAGTCAGCGCACAGGGCCTGACAGGAACTCTGTCCTTAGGTGTGGGTGGGAGGGAAGGGAGATCTCCCTTCTCACTTACATACTCAAGAAGACCATATATTGGAAATGACACAGCACCCCTTCTCACTGACTAAACATAATTTCTAGCAAAGCCTGAGCAAACCATAACCAAGGAGGAAGGTTCACAGGTAACATGTCAACGATGTAGCTACAGCGGGGGGCGATTTGCTGTGATGGGCACTGCTTCTCCCTTAGAAACGTGTTCCAGCAGACGTGAGAGCTGGCTGGCCCCTGACCTTCTGTTCCAGCCCACCTCCTCACCGATAAAGAAGCCGACGTCCAGAGAAGTAAAGTGAGCTGTTCAAGGTCACCCGACCACTCGTGGGAGAGAAGGACTGGTGCCCGTGTCTCCCCTGAGTCTTGGCGGGTGCTTTCTCATCCCCCCGTGGGTCCCCAAAGCATGCCCTGCTCAACTTCGTCAACTTAACGAACTGTTCTCAGTTCTAACATTAGACCTCTTCCACACTTTTGGCATTAAAACTTCCTCTTAAAAAGGGAGAGGTGATAATATTTGGTAATCAATTTTTTTAAAAGTCCTTACTTGGCCAAAAAAAAAAAAAAAAAAGGTTGGCATGCCTCTATTATAACATTAAAAATAGTTATTGGTCTATGAATCCCAAAACCACCTTCCACTAAGTAAAAGGCAAGGTCTCTCAAAAAACTTAAATAGCTTGTTAGTTTATTTGTTCATTTGCTGCCAACTCGACAAACACTTATTGAGGGCCTACTATGAGTCTGGCCATAGGAGAAGGAACTAAATTGCTTGTGCACCTACGTGCCATGCACCTCATTAAGCACTTTATAGAAATGATCTAATTTAATTTCCACAACTACCACTCTGCAAGGTAGATGGCATTATGCCCATTTTACAGACGGAGAGCTCAAGGCTCAGACAGGAGTAGTACCATGACCGGTGGCCCACAGCCAGTCAGTAGCAGACTCCAATTCCCAGGCTCTGTCTGAACCCCATGCTGCCTTCTTATGCTACTGGGATGACTGAGGTATAAATGGTTCAGAGTGATAAGTGGAGGAGCCAAGTAAGAATGCAGAGATAGCAAAAGGGGGGGGGCGTGGAGCAGGAGGCTGGGGCAGGGGGAACTCACCATTGAGCAGCCAAGTGATTTGGGGCACTGGGGTCCCCTGCACGGAGCACTGCAGCACAAAGTCCTGGCCCTCGATGACGGTGCAGTCCTTCAGGACACTGGAGAAGGAGGGGGCCACCCCCGCCATGGCCCATTCTGTGAAGGCAAAGAGCACACAGGCCGCATCAGCTCTGCAGTTTGCCCACTGTGACTGAACGCAGTTACTCCAAGCCTCACACAGAGACCCCTCCCTGCCCTGGGAGCCCAGCACTCCCTCGGAGGCCTGTCTTTGCCTGCATCTATCTTCACAGTCGGGGAAGCAGGCAGCACTACTGGTGTACAGACCAGGAACCTGAGGCCTAGTGACTGGCAGGGGCTTTTTCACAGTCACAAAATATGACTCCATCTGGGAGGGATCGGAACCCGGGCCTGCTTTCTCTCCTCTGTGACTCTGGTACCTACAGTCTTGTCTTATGTCAAACTATCCTGGAGCATCCTGAGAACTCTCTCTTCCTGTCTTTCTTGGTCTACTCTATTTTTTAATGTCTCTTATCTTCTTTAACAAGGAGCCCTGGTGGTGTGGTCATTAAATGCTTGGCTACTAACTGAAAGGTTGGTGGTTCAAATCCACCAGTCACTCCACTGGAGAAAGACGTGGCAGTCTGCCTCTGTAAAGATTACAGCCTTGAAAACCATATGAGGCAGTTCTACTCTGTCCTATAGGGTGGATACGAGTCAGAATCAACTCGATGGCAATGGGTTTGGTGTTTTTTGGTATCTTTTTTAATGTGTCTCATCTGTGATTACAGTCTTTTGAATATATTTTACTTGTACAGACCACACGCCCACTGGTGAAGACATTTCAATTTTAAATTATTATAATTGTTTTTTTCTATTCTAGGGTTGAATTAAATGACAAAGCTAACACGTGTTATGGTTTTCCAAGCGTGGTGTGAGGCCTAGCCTAAGCCAATGGTTCAGAACCTCTGGAGGCCTGGGAATATGCATTTAACAAGATCCTCCCTCGCGATTCTGGTGCACGTTCTACTTGAGAAAAACTGAGCTGGACTTTCAAAAAGCCTTCTAGGGGTAGATAATCACTTCTACAACAACCGGAATATGCTGCAGAAATGTCAAGGTGGCTGTTATCTGAGAAAAGATAACTGGATTTGATGATTAAAAGATACTCCCACTCTTCACTTATCCACATTGTTAGGTTCCAAAGACCAGGTCATTATGTGAAAATTGGTGTTATGCAAAAATGGAGGATGAGCACATCAGATCACAAAATGGAGACTGACTAACATCATTACATGACTGCCAAATTACATCTTACATAACAGCCAAACCTGAGAATCATGACCCAGCCAAGTTGACACATAACCTTAACCATTACAGCCTTGGCGTTCGTTACTGCCAGATGTATATTGTCAATGCACAAAATAGTCGGATAGTAGATTTTTTACTATTGTCATAAATACAAAATGTTGGACAACGAGATAGTCGATAAGTGAGGCATAGGTGTTTATCATATTGTCATAGCTTTTCAAGAGAAGCTGTTCAACACAGTGGTAACGGGAAAAGCCATACTATATTGCAAGGGCCTGAGGACAAGATGTGACTGTGACAATGCCATGAAGTTGCTATCTTTGGCTCACCTTTAGCTTGTCTTACACGTGAAGTTAATAATTTCCCATAGTCAGGCTCAATGGTGAAGCCAGGCTTTACAACCAGCTCTCTGACTCTACGTCCACAATTTCTGCTCTAGAGCTGAGCTCCCTTAAGGGGAAAGTCACAGTGGGAGAGCAACTACAAAGTGGATTGATGGCGAACAGGCCTGGCTCTGGGGAAGGGATTTTCCAGAGAGGTGTGGGGAAGCACTATCCCTACCCCTTCCCCTGGCCAGTATCAAATTCCCTCATTAGAGCAATGTCTTTGGGCATCAGTGAAAAGAATATAAGCTTTAGTGTCAGGTCAACTAAAACGAATACAGTCTATCTTTTACTAGGCTTGTGATTTGGGCAAGTCATTTAACCTTACTACTGCTCAGTATTCTCATCTAGAAAATGGTTGTGTGTTGTAAAAATTTAATTTTATCCAAAAAATTTGGTCTTTGTCCTTGGTTCCTGAGGGATAACCTTAAAACCTTGGAATTTCTCCAGTGATTGAAGTGTCTTTGATGAGGCCTCCAGACCACACCTGAGGGTTTATGCTAATGTAGTGCCTCTTGTATGTGGGCTGGCCAGGCCAGAAAGACCCATCATGCAATGTCAGCTGACCTCAGGGGAGGGGACATGATTCAGTCAATCATGACTATGTAATGAGGCCTCAGTAAAGGCTCTAGACACAGAAGCTCCCATGGGCTTTCTGGCTAGTGATAGATAACCGTGCATGTGGGAGGGTAGCGCGCATCCTTTGGGACATGAAAGAGCCATGTTGGGAACTCTCCCAGACCTTTCCCTATGCGTCTCTTCATTTATATCCTTATGTTATATAGCGAAACCTGTGAGAGCCGGAACTCTACAGGGCTGCCTTGTTTTACTGGGTCTCGCACGTTTTCCACCTCGACAGGGTGAAGTCTTACCATTTTTCTATCACTCTCTATTAGTGGAAACTATTTGAATTTTCCTTCTCTGACAGGTTTCCACCTTACATAGCTTCCAGATTTCACAGGTTTTACCGTAATTAAACTGCAATAATAAGTATAGCGTTTTCCTGAGTTCTATGACTCATTCTAGTAAATTACCAAACCCAAGAGAGTAGTGGGAGCCGGCAGGTCAGAAAGAAGGGAGCCCGGGCTTATCGCTGGCATCCTGAAGGGATGGAGGAAACCCCCAAATTTACAGCCAGCAGGTCAGAAATGAGAGTATCAGGACTTCGAAGCTTGCAGCTGGTGTCTAAAGTTTTGGGCCAACCTGGCAGACTGGTGGACTGTGCCCTTTAATTTGTGAAACCTGACCTAGATCCAGGTGGTCAGGGTCAGAGGAAGAAGGACTGCAGGGGCAGTAAGTGTCAGAATTAAATAGAATTGCATTGATTGATCATTACAGGTTGTAACTCTAATTATCTCATGATATTGTTGGGGGAATTAAATGAAATAATGCAGGAAAAGCATTTAGCACAAATTCTGGTACATAGTACGTACTCAACGAGTATTAGCTATTACAGGTAGTCCCTGACTTATGACGTATTCGAGCTACAATGAACCGCGCTTATGACTGTCTGTTTTTTTTTTTTTAACATCTTATCATTAGTAATGTGTACCACATACAATGTTGCAGTGCATAAAAAGACCATACAGACAACTCTCACTGATTTCCTGACTAGAAATGCCATCCCCATTCCCAGGAATAATACAGATGGTCCAGAACCTTCCACAAGTAGAGTTATTACTGCAACTGGCAGAACATCAATGTCATCCATTTTTCTCTGGGTGTATTTTTTTATGTATGTATGTATTAAAATATATCTTTAAGTTTATATGCAATGTTTCCAACCCTCAAAGACAAATAAAGATTGAATTTATAGAGATACTGTCAATAAAAGGCAATAATAATGAAAATTAAAAAAAATGAGGTATTCGACTTACATCAGAACTGACTTATGACGGCGTTATCAGAACGAAATCCCATTGTAAATTGGGGACTGTGGATTTAGATTACACTTGCAGCAAGTTTGGGGTGAAAAGCAGTAGAGAGATAAGGTGGTAGCCTGAGGGACAGTCAAGCAGAAGGAACGTTTCTTTCTTTTTTACCATAGGTAAGACCAGAATGTACTTGTAGGGAGGAAGAAGGAAACTCTAGATAAGGGGTGGGGATAGGTTGAAGAAATTGGTGGGAGAGTAAATTATGATTAGATAAGATCTTAGAGGATATGGGAAGGGATAGAAACAGAAGTATTATAACGGTGTCAGACAGCTTTTCTGCAGTGACAGAAGTAAGACAAAGGTGATGCTGCAGGGGAAACCACAAGAACTTGCATCAGATGCATCTTGGTAAAGTTGTTTTCTGAGAGTGAACTGGGTTTTCTGTTTTTTGATTTTTTTTGAGGTTAGAGAAAGTTTAAAATAGCTAGTGTCTTCAAGGAGGCAGGGAGGTAGGAAGCATTTCTGGGACGGCAGAGTAAGGACAGCCAAAACTCTGCTCCTCCATAAAAGCAATGAGAACACTAGAAAAAATGGCCAAATCAACTTTTTAAGAACTCTGGATATTAACCAAAGGCTTGCAACATTCTGAAGAGCATTCATTCAAGAAAAACAGCTGAATCTCAGTAAGAACAGCAAGCCTTGTGGCGTTTTAAACTTGCTTGATTCCCATTCCTGCTGCCCCCACCCCATCCCCAAGCTCTGTGGTAGCCTTGAAAACCAACAGCCTTGCAACTATGGTAGCTGTGAAAACCAGCAGCTTAGCAGCCATTGGTTGGGGGGGTGGTGCATAATGGCTTTGAAACTCTTCAAAAGCCCCATCCACAGAGAACTTTCATTTTTTCACCTGTCTGGCAGTTCCCTGAACAGCTCTATTCTCAGAACTGGCTTTATTAGACCTAACTCAGAGCTTGCTCAGTATGAACAGCTCTATCTCTAGGGTGTTTGTCAAAAACAATCAGTGGCAATTGTTTAACACTACAGCTGCCTGAGGTAGAAATACCAGTTGGGGCTAACAAGAGGCCAACCACAAAACTTAAAAGGAAAAACTGGGGAATGAGATGTCCATAAGGGGTCTTGAAAAATCTTCAACAGAGTCCTGGGAACCTAAAAAGCCACACACATGTGCAAGGATGTGTGTATTCCCAGGAAAAGCCTGAGTAGACCCTAATCTCTAACCTCTAGCTGATCTTGAGGCTCTGCAGAAGAAGGAAGTAAAGACTAAGGTAGAGTTGTAAACTGTCTGCTGCAGCATTGAAGACATGCTCAAACATATACACAGAACCTCTTGCAAAGGCTGGGAGACTTCTTGACTCAACATATTTAAGGAAATATCCATCCATTCATTGGCTGACCACTAAGTAAACTGAGCACAGACTTCAGTGGCCACACATGACAAATAATACAGAATTTACAGACTAAGTCCAGAAAAGGCACTAAATAAAGAAACAACATCCACCACCACCAATAACAAACAGCAACAATAAAAAAATAAAATAAAATAGAAAACCCTGGGGAGGAGGGAAATCTTATTTCCAGAGTTGCCACATTATATTATCTAAAATGTACAGTTTTCAACAGAAAAATCACAAAACATGCAAGGAAACACAGATATATGACCCATACATAGGAAAAGCAGTCAGTAGAAACTGTTCTTGAGGAACTCAGAGATTGCACTTATTAGATAGACTTTAAATCAGTTATTGTAAATATGTTCTAAAAATTAAAGAAGACAATGTCTTAAGAATTAAACAATGAGAACGATGTCTCATAAAATAGAGAATATCAATAAAGAGAGAAAAATTATATAAAAGAACCAAATAGAAATTCTGGAATTGAGAAGTACAATAGCTAAAATGAAAAATTCACAAGAGGGGGTTAACAGCAGATTGGAACAGTCACTAGAAAGAATCAGTCAATTTGAAGATAGGCCAATTGATATTATCTAGTCTGAGGAAGAGAAAGAATAAAAAAATAAATAAAGAAAAATGAACACAGCCTCATAGACAAGTGGGACACCATTAAGTGTACAACATATGCACAATGTGAATCCCAGAAAGAGAGGAAAAAGAGAAAGTAACATAAAATATTTGAAGAAATAATGGCTGAAACTTCCCGTATTTGATAAAAATAATTACTCGGCACATTTGAAAAGTTCAATGAACTCCAAGTAAAACAAACTCAAAGAGATCCATGTCTAGATACGTCATAGTCAAATTTTCCAAAAACAAAGAATCTTGAAAGCAACAAGAGAGAAGCAACTCATCACATACAAGGAATTCTCCAGTAAGACTTACAGGTGACTTTTCATCAGAAATCATGGAGTACAAAGGCAATAGGATGACATAGTAAAAACGCTGAATGAAAAAGACTGTCAACCAAGAAGTCAATATCCAGCAAATCAATCCTTCCAAAGTGAAAGAAACATTAAGAAATTCATGATAAACAAAAATGGAGAGCATTTCTTGCTAGCAGACCTGCCCTCCAAAAAATGTCAAAGGGAGTCTTTCGGGAGGAAACGACAGGACACTAGGCATGAACTTGAATCCACAGGATAATGTAAATGAAATGTGAACGTAAAATGGTACAGTCACTTTGGAAAACAGTTTGGCAGTTCTTCAAAAAATTATACATAGAGTTACCATAGAACCTAGCAATTCCACTGCTAGGTATCTACACAAGAGAGTTGAAAATATACCTCCACACAAAAACTTGTACACAAATGTTCACAGCAACGTTATTCACAAATAATTCCAAATAGTGGAAATAACCCAAATGTCCATCAACTGATGGATGAATAAACAAAATATGGCATATTGTAATATTATTCAGCCATAAAAAGGAATGAAGTACTGATATAACATGGATGAACCTTGAAAACATTATGCTAACTAAAAGAAGCCAAACACAAAAGGTCATACATTGTGATTCCATTTATATGAAATGTCCAGAATAGGCAAATCCTTAGAGACAAAAAGTAGATTCGTGGTTGCCAGGGGTTTGAGTAGGGAGGACGTGTGATGGTGGGATAGGGAGTGACTGCTAATGGAAGTGGAGTTTCTTTTTGGGGTGATGGAAATGTTATAAAATTAGATAGTGGTGATGGTTGCACAACCTTATGAATATAACAAAAACCATTGAAGTATACACTTTAAAAGGGTGACTTTTATGTTATATGAATTATATCTCAATAAGGCTGTTACAGTAAACAAAAGCAGATAGGGAGCCAACCTGAAATAAATTACCCCAAGATTCGAATAGGTTAAAATGATATTTTACAAGCAGAAAGTAAAGGCTAAGGTAGAGTCGTAAATTCACAGATGATGATAAATTCACAAATGAGGAAGCTTTAGGAGAAAACAGGTTTTCTGGGTATATCATTAACCTTTGGTAGACACGATACCACCTGTCTGTCTCTCGACCAGACACAGAGCCCTGTCTGGATGATGAGGCTCAGGCTCTTAGACCTGTGAACCCTGCCTACAGGCACTCATATTCAAAATCTCCTGATCAGGATCTAAGCAAGTCCTTATGTCGCGATTGTTGATATTGTTGACATATCTTTTAATCTAAGTTTCCTATAAGCTGCCTTTCCCTTTCTTTTTTTGCTTGCAATTTATTTGTTGAAAAAAATAGGCGAAGGTTATTTGTCTGTAGAGTTTCCAGCAGTCTACAGTTTGCTGGTTCTATCCCTGTGGTGCTGTTTAATACATTCCCCAATGGTATGACCTTACACCTATGTCTAAATGCTTTCAAAGAATATTTAAAAATGTAGAAAGATGCTGATGTTACATGAGCAAATTAGGATAGAAAACAGTACAAAAAGCACAATGCCAATTTTGTTTAAAAAAAAAGTTTATGTCTGAGTCATAAGATCGTATTTTGTCTAAATTCCCGACAATAAACACACATTACTTTTATAAACAGAGTTACAATAAACATAAAATATATGTGATCCCACATTGTTATGGGTTGATTTGTATTGCCCAAAAGGATATGTTCAAGTCCTAACCTCTAGTACCTGTGAATGTGATCTTATTTGGAAATCGAGTCTCTGCAGATACAATTAGTTAACATGAGGTCGCACTGGACTAGGGTGGACTCTAAGCCAATATGACTGCTGTCCTTATAAGAAGAAGAGATATAAGAACAGAAACACAGAGAGAAGATGGCCATGTGAGGAAGGAGGCAGAGATTGGGGTTATGGTGTCACAAGCCAAGGTGTGCCTGGGGCCACCAGAAGCTGAAGCGACAAGGAAGGCTCCTTCAGAGGGAATGTGGCCCTGCTAGCACCCTGAGTTTGGACTTCTAGTCCCTAAAACTGTGAGACAATAAATTTCTGTTGTCTTAAGCCTCCCACTTTGTGGTAATTTGTTAGGTCAGCCATGGGAAACTAACACACACATCATCTCACATTACTCTAAACCCCGCATATTTAGTGAACATTTGGTTCTCTGTGGTTACAAAAGTGTGTCATGGCACTATTCTCACAGCTGAGGAACCTAAAAAAGGTAGCTCTCAGCTGGGCTGGGAGTGGGGCTGGGCATGTTTACTTTGAAGTGATCCTAATGTGAACTACTGATTAAGAAACACTGGCCAGGAGCTACATATTTGGCCTTGGCATGCAGGTGGGCATATGTTTTGTACGTAGGGTTGTATCTCCAAGATGAGGGGCTGTTGCAGATGAAATGTCCGCCATGTAGGAAGCACCCCGTGAATGGTGCTCTCACAGAGAACCCAGGGTGACCTAGAGGAACATACTCACTTTTCACCTGGAGGGTCCAGCTACAGGACACCTGGCCTTGGACGTTGGAAGCTGTACAGCTGTAGTTTCCACTGTCCTTCGTGCGGGCTCTCAGCAGGCAGAGGTAATGGGATCCAGCAGCTTCATAAACCTCAGTGGTGCCTTCTTGTCTCCTCACGGGGACACCTTCCAGGAACCAGGCCACTTCAGGCTTTGGGACCCCTGAAACTACAGGGCCAGGTGAAGAACATGAGACCCCTGGAGAGCTCACTGTGCTTGTGGGCAGGGAGCACCTGAAGTGGAGGGAAGGATCAGTCTGGAGTGTCCTCCTGCTTTCTTACCCCTCAACCCTCCGCTCCAAAAGCGTGGACATCATAAGACACAGGCAGGGGCCTTGGGGAGGAGGAACACAAGAGCAATAAGTCAGGCCTCTGGGTCAGCCAAAGCTAGGAGAAGGGAAGAAAGAGAAGAGGAGACCCTGCAGCCCATTCTTGGAGGAGGGTGGTGGTGATGGTGGGAGAAATTAGGGCACAGGGCCGATGCTCTATTCAGCAATGAACAACGGGCATCTGACGTTTCTCCGGAATAAGGGACATTACTAGGCCGAGTCCTTTCTGAGGGGAAGACCCCTGCATGGTGGCTTCCAGGGTGGCCTAGTCTAAGGTGATGGGGTAGATATTGGAGGCTCGGAACTAGCTGTGTGCTGAAGGAGAGAAGCAACCACTCAGGGGCTGCATTTTGGCAACCAGGGACCCTAGATAGCTCTACTCACCCTCACATCTGAACTTGACTGTTTGATCCTCACTGACTTCCTGGTTCTGGGGCTTGCTCTCAAATTTGGGGACTGTTGAATCCCTCCAGCTCTCCATAGGGATCTTCCTGGCAGCAACCTCGCTCGCAACTTCTTGGCTTTGGAGGCCAGACTGCCTTGTGAGGAGGGTAGCTGGAGGGGGCGCCGCTGGCCTCTTCCTCTCCTCTCTAGAGGGAGAGAGGGCCCCCGAGGCTGGTGCTAGCTGCTCAGGCTGGACTTTTGCAGCCTGCAGGGTGATGGTGCTGGAAGTCTTTTGAAGGATGGGGGTCCTCAGGACCTTTCTGGGTAAGTCCCCAGTCGGTTCCAACTTGGATTCCCTTAGGGGATGGGGCTGGCTGTTGGTGGCACAGGTGGCAGAGGCGTCTCTCTGGGCACTGGAGCTGTTCTTACTTCTGGCTGCAGTCTCCAGGCTATCCAGTTTTGGCCCCTTGGCGATTCCATTGGTTGCCTCCCTCCTGGTGTCTGCATTGGCAGCCTGTGCGCCTCTCACAAATGACCTGTTTGATGGTGTCGTGGAGGGGAGGGCAGTAGGAAGGAGAACAGCATGACCGTCTAGTTACTCACAAACATTACTCAGCACTGCGGCAGATTCCAGGGATCACAAAAGCCCCACAAATCAAGAGACAGTAAGAGCAATTTTTCTTTCTTTTGCAGTTTTCTCTGTTTCCCAAGCCAGAAAACCGGCAGCCATTCTTGACAGTTCCCTGCCCCTCCTCCCCTAATCCAGAGCCCTGTTTTATCTACAGTTCTTAGATCTGCCTTTTCTCCTCACTTCCACTGGTGCCCTCCTAGTTTAAACCACTCTGCTGGTTTCCCCTTGCCCACTCTGTCGTTCTCTAATCCGTTTTCCACACAGCAGCCATAGTCAATCTTTGAAAAGCATAAATCAAATCATGTCATTCCAAACTTAAGGACTCTCCAGCAGCTTCCCCATTGAATTAAAAATAAAATTGAGCTTCTCAAGACGCCTACAAGGACAGCCCAATGTGTGCCGGCTACGGCTGCCTCTTGAACCTCAGAGACACTGTCCCCGTGGCACACCAAGCTGCAGCCACACAGGTGTTCTCCTGGGTTTTCACACATGCCTACTTCTCATCTCAGTGCTTTCACACTCGCTATGGCCTCTTGAAGGTGACTTCATGGTGCAGCAGTTAAGCGCTTCGCTGCTAACTGAAAGGTTGGCAGCTCAAACCTACCCAGTGGCTCTTCAGGAGAAAGAAGTGGTGATCTGCTCCCATAAAGCAGCCTAGAAAACCCTATGGGGCATTTTATTCTGTCATATGGTGGTCAATATGAGTTGGAATCCACTCGAAGGTACACAATAATAATAATATTCCTTCTGGAACACTTTCTCCCTGAGTTTTCTTCACCTAGTTATGATTACGCTTTGTAGTTCTGAGCAAATATCAAGTCTTCAGAAAGACCGGACACGGTCATCCTAAGAAACGCTGCTCTGTTATTCTTCCTCAAAGTCTTAGCACGATTTCTAAGTATGCACCCACACAACTCTGCTTAAAGCCCTTCTCAACACTAGGTTGTCTGCTCACCCCTGTATACCCAATGTCTAGCACTGAGCCCCACACAGGAAATGACACTCCTGACAAGTATTTGCTGAATGAATGAATGAATGCATTATGGCCTGAAACATGTAAGGCACCCTTTTCCGAGTGGAGGGCCTTTTGGAATGATGGCTGGCTAATGAAGATACCGAGTAGGTACTGAGAAAGACGACGCTGAAATGGCTAATCCTATCTTTGAGAGTCTCAATACTGATAGGATCCCTGATATGGAACCTGTATGGCATATTATAATAGGAGAACAAAACTAAACACCCAAAATAAAAGACTGCCACCAAAACAGCCAATTCTTCCTCCCTATAGGGTGACTTAGAAATTCAGGGCATTCCTCTATAACAAGCTCTCTGTCCCTTGCAGGGCATTTCAGGATGGAAAACATAATAATGACAAAGGTTTGACATACCTGTTGGTGTTGTCCAAACCTGGGCAAAAGGGGGAAGAGTAGGAAGAGTGTTAGTGGGATAATTTATACACCAAGAAGGGAAAATGATACAACGACAATCCTTTTCATTGTTGCAGAGTTTTCACTTCCTAAGCATTCACTCATCACCAATGGTCTAACTCGGCTCTCCTGGTCCTGAACTTCTGTGGTCAATCTGATAAACCCCTCCTGCCCTGGACCACACTGTCAGAGCTTCCGGTGCTGTCCTTCTGGCTGGCACGTGGCTGGCATGTGCTCTTTCCTACGGCCTCTCCTACCACACCCTGAGGGTATGGGACCTGTTCCTGATCACTAGCTTACAGAAGCCAACAAAATCCAACCTAGGGACACCAAAAATAAACATCCACTGAAAATTTCAAACCAAACACCGTTGAGTAACAGTGGTGTCCGCAAAAACAGACCACCAAAAGTGATCAGTTTTGACTAATATCTGCCTTAAAAATGTACATGGAAGTGTAATTTCATTCAGTTCTTCGAAGAAAAACACATGCCATATATATTTTTTGTGATACATTCTTTAAAAAATTTTGTCATGGAAAATTTCAAAATATATAGTAGTAGAGAGAAGGATATAACAAATCCTGAAAGGTATTACCCAGATTAAGGCAATATCAACATTTTGCCATCTTATCTACCCCTTTTCGTTTTTGTTTATTTATTTTTTCTGGAGTATTTTCAAGCAAATCCAAGACGATGTATCATTTTGTCATTAAGTACTTCTGAACTGTACAGTTTTTAACTCAATCCTAGGACAGTATGGAGTCCCTGGGTGATGCAAATGGTTAATGTGCTCAGCTGCTAACCGAAAGGCTGGGTTTAAGTCCATCTGGAGGTGCCTTGGAAGAAAGGTCTGATGATCTCCTTCTGAAAGATCAGCCACTGAAAACCCTATGCAGTACAGTTCTACTCTGACACACGCGGGGTTGTCCATGAGTTGGAATCGACTTGTCGGCACCTGGTTTACTTTTTTTTTTTCTATTTTTTTTGGGGGGGGTGGTTTAGGACAAGTAAAGGGAGAGTGACAAAAATATTGCTCTAGACACTTAACAGCAGGTCCTTGTCCAGTAGTGGGTTGTGAGGCAAATTCTCTGGTCAGGACCAAGATTTTTTTTTTTTTTAATGGCTTAGAATACTTACAATGTACTGTACTAAGTATTGTTTCATGAAACTTGTTTCAGTTAAGTGTGTTTATAGACATGTGTATGTTCTGGGCTGCAATGTAAAATAAATTTCTTTCTGTGGGTTATGAGAAATAGGCAAAAGAAAAAAAACAAAGAGAGCAACGAGGAAAAGCTTCTGAAAAAGGAAGGACACATGGGAGAGAGAAATTACAGAAGAAGAGAAGCTAAGAAAGGAGGAAGAGAGAGTGAAGGCCACCTCCTTTCACCATCCCCCAAATCCCACCTTAGTCAAGGTTTCTGCTCCAATGAAGTGACGTCAACCCCTTTCCCCATCCACATACTCCGGCTTCCCCAGGCTGGACTTGGAGGAGTTGAGGAGAATGGAAAGAAGCAGATAGACATATTAAAGAGATTTCGAAGAGAAGAACTGACAGGGGCTGATGACTAAAGCACAGAAGAAGCGGGGGTCAGATGTGATGTGGGTGGAAATGTCCAGTCTGCGTGAGAAGGAAAATGGGAGCCCTGGGGTAGAAAGAGCTAAGTTGAGGAAACACCTGATTTGAAGGGCAGAGTGGATGATGAGTTATGTTTTAAATAGGTTAAATTTGGAATGATGTCAAGATGTTAGCAATGTCCGTTTTTTTCAACCCAGAATTACAGATATAAAAAAGGAGTTTGAGTAAGAAGAAAGGACTGAAGACACTCACGTGGAGGTGGAGAGTAGGGATACGAGTGAAGGTGGCAGCCTGCTCATAGCATCGTCCTCTGTGGCTGTGTCTGTGCTGCCTGCCCCACTCTCCTTTCTTCTGATTAAAGACCTAGCCCTGGGGAATGCGTGGGTGTGTAAGCGTGCAATGTGTACGCATACAGATGCATAAGGAATAAGGGTTCAGATACCAGGGACGACTCATTATGCACTACCCTTCCCCACCAGGCCATACCTTGGATGGAAAGCTCAGCTGACATGGAGGCCTTCCCTGACCCGTTTGCCACCATGCATGTGTATACTCCCACATCATCTTGGTTGACTTCCTGGATTTCCAGAACTTGCATCCCATTCTTCTCAGACATGGACACACGGGCACTTGGCTGCAGAGCAACATTTCCCTGTGGATGGCAATAGGGTAGTTTGGTCACAGAGACCTGCTCACTTTTTGGCATTGTCATTCCTTCCTCCCACTTACCCTGGTGGGACAGACGTCAAGGGACGGGTACAGAGCCCTCTGCTCTGAGGCCCTGGCAACAGAGTTACAGAGCAGTCTTTGGACAATCCAAGGACCCTGACTTGAGGTTTGTGTATGTGTGCGGTGTTCAGTCCAGCTTAGAGTATATGCCTGGAAATGAACTTTAAAGGAGTTCTAGTTTGAGGTGGGATATCCTATATTTCTCACTTCAGTTTTCTTTTTCCTCCCTCTTCTTTTTCCAGGATCAGTTCAGGAGAATTAGGAAGTAGGTTAAAAAGTGTCCCATCATCCCTTTTTAGCTAGAAGTTTCATCTTTGAAAAACCTACTCTCTTTGGTCTTGACCTCAGTTGTTACCTAAGGCTCCTCACTGCCTTGTTTAACTCCCACTTGTGCTGCCCCTGCTTCTGCTTTCACCACCACCTCTTCCACCTTTATCTTTGTCCAGCACTGAGTGACTTATAAAACACTTCATGGAACCTCCCAACAGTATTTTGAGTAGATAATACTATCTCTTCCTTACAGATAGAGAAACAGGGGTTCCAAGAGGTCAGATGACTTGCCCAGTACCACATGCTTTGTGAACCAGGGAACCATGACTAGAAACCTAGCCCCATAACTTCAAATTCCACTCTCTTGAAATTGCCAGATCTGTGTTGACTTAGAAGTTTCACGCTATGTTGTGAGAGTGAGAATTATGAGAACATTGTGGTCTAAGTGACAGAAAGAGTGTGCAAACAGGAGCAAGAACAAGCATTGCTATAAAACATGTAGAGAACTGTCGAGAATCACCTACAGTTGAAACAACAGGAACTGACTGGAAAGACAGACTCCCACTAGTCCAAGGGTCTAACCCTAGCTTTCATGGTCCCCAGGCCTGGGCCAAAGTCAGAGCAGATAGATACCTCACCTTGAGCCAGGTGACCTGTGGTTGGGGCCGGCCAGTGATCTTGCAGGAGAATCGTCCCATCTGTCCTTCTTTTACCACCACTCGGCCCAGCTTGGTAGCAAACTTTGGTGGGCACTCTCCCCAGATGCTAGGACGGGTCTCTACTGCAGGGACTGCAAACCTGTCCCTGGAAAGAAATCAGCGTATAGACAATCCAGCCCCAAACAAGGTAGCAGTTCAGATCCTTCTCTCTCTACCCCCATGCAAGTTGGCATCAGAAACTCATAAAGGGTAGTCATTCTAATTTTATGGGAACACAGAATTCTACACATTAGAAACACATTTCTAGTATCCCTTCTGGAAAAATCTGTGGCACCAAAATCTATTTCCTCTACCCCTGGGCATGCAGCTAGACTTCATTTATCAATTCCTCCCTTGAAGTTAGGTATACCTGAATTCTACTGAGCTCTGGACAAAAGCCTGGGTTCTTGCCAATGGACTGAGAGAAGAAGTGACGTTTGCCACTTCCAGGCCTGATCCATAAAAAAACCTCCTGTGAGATTCTCTACACTTTCTCTCGTGCTCACTCTGCTGGCTAGAAGCAAAGGGTCCAGCACAGGCTCCAAGACTCTAGAAGAATGGAGCCACAAAATGGGAGGATCCTAGGTCTCTGAAAGATAACATGGAAGGCCCTCCACTTGTTCAGGAATATCTGAATTGGACCTTGCTTGAGTAAGAAATAAACTCTCACTGTGTTACACCATTGCCATTTGGGAGCTTGTCTGTTACAGCAGCTATTGTTACTTACCTTTACTAATAAAAGTTTATTTTCCAGGAGAAGAGTCACATAGTGATTGCCTCCTCTAAGTTTTCCTATTTATGTTTTCTGACTATTGACTCAATTTTTAGGGGTCATTGCAGATTATGGCCACATCCCCCACTTCCTTAGCTTTCAGCAGCTGAGCCAGTCAAAGGGGCTACCCACAGAGGCTGCCTAGGTCAGGAGGCTCTGTGTGAATAACACATTATACCCCACTAGGATCCCACCCATTAGTTACTATAACCTAGGATGCCCAAGAAGACTTACTCCCTAGACCTATCCCGGTCAAGTCAGCAGGAAAAGCCATTCCAACCCTTACCCTAGCTTGAACATCCCAGAACTTACCCCAAGGTTTTGGAAACAACAGGCTGACCATGCTTCTTTACAACGTCCCCTACAAGTAAGAAGCACACAGAAAGAGGGTTGAAGAGTTAGGCTTTAGCCACCAACTTGGAGTAATGAAATTCAGGAAGATTCAACAATAGGGGTGGGGTGAGAAAATGATGGTGACAGTTAAACCTGACTGAGGTGTACGGGGTCAGGCCCAATGGTAGGTACTTCACATACATCATCGCGTTAATTTCTTGCAATGATTTGATGAAGCTGGTAGTACATTATCTTTTTATTTTTTAAACAGATGAGAAAAATGAGATTTAGAGAGGTTAAGTCAGCCACACAAGGTCATGAAGCCAGTAACAGTGGGGGAATCAGGAAGGCATGCAGGTCTGCCCGGTTCTGGAACACTCAATCACCCTGCTAAGCTGTTGTGATGGTTAAGATTGTGTGTCAACTTGGCTGGGCCATGATTCTCAGTGTTTATATGTGATCACTTCCATGATTGAATATGCTATGAGTAGCCAATCAGTGGAAAGGGAGTTTCCCTGGGGGTGTGGCCTGCATCTGAATATAAGCAGACGTTCTGGCTTTTTGCTCGCTCTGGATCCTGCGGCTGCCTCCTGTTCGGCTGACCTCCGGTTCTTGAGACTTGAGCTGTTAGCTTGTCTGCCAAACTTGGGACTTGTTGATCTTCACAGCCTGTGAGTGGAACCTTGCTCTCTGACCTGCCAATCTTGGATTCACCAGCCCCTGCAGCTACGTGAATCAGGAGAAACCTTGCAGTCTTGCCTGCCGATTTTGGAATTCGTCGACCTTCACAGCCTGTGAGCGGAAGCCCTGCTCTCCAACCTGCTCATCTTGGGCTCACCAGCTTCTGCAGCTGCATGAATTGGGAGAGGCCTCTACCCTGATCTATGGACTTGGGACGTTCTAGCCTCTACAATCGTGTGAGCTGTTTCCTTGATATAAATCTCTCTATATATTTATACACTTTACTGGTTTTGCTTCTCTAGAGAACCCAGCTTAAGACAGCTGTCCTATATCATGCTGGACCTTCCACTTTGGGGGTTATCTGTGGTAATCCAAGACCTCTCCCAAAAATGATGCAGCTGAAGGGAGGGAGGGAGATGGAGGGAGATGCATATGCACATCTCTTACTATGTGTATGCACAGCTGACATAATCAACACTCATGCTTCCACTCAAGGCCCAGCCAACAGCAATAGGCTGCAATGGAGCAGGACAGATTACTGAAGATGAGCTACAGTGGTTCCAGCACCTCACTCAGAATCTGCAGTGTGCTGCACTGGGCACAGCTAGCCCTGGGTGAGGTGCTGTGAGTCCTGAGTGAAATGTTGGCATACTGGGTGCTGCCAATCATGGGTGAGGCACTGCTAGCCCTCGGTAAGGTACCATCAGCCGTGCAGTGCTGGGCGCTGCAAATCCTGAGTGAGGTGCTGCCCACTGGGCAGGAAGCAGTTAAACAGTAAACCCAGCAAGGCAGCTGAGGTCAGCTCCTCTTATCCAACTGTTGCAGCTGGGCAGAGACAATTCATAATGTGACCAGGAAGTAATTATAAAGTAGTGTTTTTTTTTGACGAGTGGAGGGGTGCGGGGAGGGGCAGGGGGAAGCATTTTTGAGATGGTGATTAGTCTAGAAGTTGTTCTCTCTTTGCCACAAGCTGGAAGTGTTTCTAAAACCCCACATAAAGCAGCCATGGAAAAGGGTAGAAGTCACTCCCTCGTATTAACAGGCAGCTGCTAAGAGGAATTTGCAGGGTGTTTACTGGAAAGGGGTAAACTTCCTTAAATGCCAAGCCAGATCACATCAATATGAATGCACAGGAACATAGAAATGAAGCAGGAAGATCATGACTGAACTATTTCTCTTGGCCGTACCTGGCTTAAGGTTTCACCAGAACTTTAGTGAAAAGGGACTAGTAATCGACACCGGCATCACCGTTAAGTTGTGGCTCCACATGATTTTCAATCATTGGGCATGCATTTCTGTTTAACATAACGATTTTGTAAGCTGTGCATAGTTTTCATTCCATAATGTGGGTTCGCTTCTTGTCATCCAACTCCCTGTCAAGGTTAACAGAACTTCTAAAATGATGACAGGAAACACCTTGTGGAAGGACCCACATGACATTCACGGTCAGGATTCGAGGGCCCTTGGACACTGTGTGAGGAAGTGCAAGCCATGCAGCCCTTTTGGAAGGTATTTTAGCAATTAGGAACCATAAGCTCTAACGATGCTCTGCTCTGGGACCAGCACCTCCCTTTCTCTGACTCCATTCAAAGGAATGATGCTAAAAATAGAAAAGGAAGTTTAGAAAGCTGCTCGCTTGATCTTATTTGTAACAGCAGAAATCGAAAACAGCATAAATAGAAAACAACACAGTAGAAAGACTATAAATTATTAAGTAAAATAGTAAAATGTACAATTAGCCATCTTATGTGGCCATTAAATTATGTTTAAAATATGGGAAACATGCTAAAATATTACCCTATTTGCTCCTCAGAGCAATCCAATTGAGCTAAGACCTTCTCCACTCCCCGAACTCCAACCTGACCTCCATCTTACCAGACCCAATGGTCAATCCTCCGTCACCATATCTCTCAGATGCTCAGTAGCATTTGACACAAGGGGCCACTCTGCTTCCTCCTGGAAGCACTTTCCCCTCTAGACTCTCCAGCTTTTCTTCCTCCAGGTTGCCCACTCTACCTCACCCTCCTCCTCTGCTCCACTTTGCATGCTGGCATCCCACAGAGTGTTGGGTCCCTCCTCAGCTTGCTCTACTCTCCTCCTGCAGGTAATAGCTTTAAACACCAGCTATGCGCTGATGGCCCCCATGCATATCCTCAGTGAGACTTCTTCTCTCATCAGAGGCATCTAGAACAGTGCCCAGCACGTAGTAGATATTCAAATATTTGTTAAATAGATGGATTTTATGGAAAAAAGAAGAGCAACATACAAAATCATTTACTCAATGTGCTCACAATCATATAAAAATAAAATTAAATACCAAAACATGAGGAAAAGACTAGAAAAAAGTCATCAATATGTTGTTAATAGTGATTGCTTTTATGTGGAGGGACTCTGAGTAATTTTATTCAGCTGTGTTTTCTAAAATTTCTATAAATACAAAAGACTTACTAGTACAACGGTAAGTACAAATAAATCTTTTGTATTTATGGTCTGGGTCACACACACACACACACACACAAAAAAAAAAAAAAAAAAAAGAAAGGAAGGAAGAAAAAGGAAAAAGATCCTGGTATCCAAAGAGAGGAGCTTTAGTGGCACAGTGGCTAAGAGCTCAAGCTGCTAACCAAGAGGTTGGCAGTTCGAATCCACCAGCTGCTCCCTGGAAACCCTATGGAGCAATTCTACTCTGTCCTATAGGGTCGCTGTGAGTTGGAATCAACTTGATGGCAACAGGTTTGGTTTTTTTTTTTTGTTTTTTTTGGTTTTATACGACAGCATTACTCACACTCCCAATCACTAACGCTCCGGCCTAAAAAATAGCCTATGTATTCATCTACTGCACTTGTAAATTCTGCTGTATCACTCATACCAGCTCATCTTGGAGTAAAGATTTGATAAAAAGTTGACTGAGTATCTTCAAAACTCTTGGGAGCTAAACACTTAATTAATTCCTTAAAAAATAAAATAAAAGCAAAAATATGGCATTTCTGCAAAACAGCAAAAGAACGCTGCTTGGAGTGTCTCCCATGTCAGGGAGAGAGCAGTTTATGGTTTCTCCAAAGGTCACACATAAAGCCAGGGGTGGATTATCCTATACCACATCATCTGTAGTGAAACTGTTCACCACAGATTAGTAAGTGAGCACAAGTAAGCCCGCGCTTACCTTGCTTACTGGTCATCTGCCCCTGTCAGGGAGAGTAAATTGGAAAAGGGGCTTTGATTCTGTAGGAAGGCGCTGTGGGGTTGGGAGAGAGACAGATGCCAACCATATCTAGAAGTCGAATCTTCAATGTGGTGAAAAATATGAAATAGTTTACTACAGATGATCTGGTAAGCAAGGTAAGCACTGTGCTTATCTTGCCTAGTGAATAATTCACCCCTGCATAAAGCAGTCAGCTAAAAATGGAACTGAGGAATGCTTATCTTAATGTGAGTTCACACCGCAGAGTTTACATCAAAACAAAAAAAGAATTTAGGCTGAAACAGCAGGATCTATTTATAGGAAAAAATTTGAGGTTGCACACTGTCAGATAAGGCAAAATTAATTTTATGAAAGAATGAAAATCTGGCAGAACAGTAAGGCCATGTAGAAAAAACGTGGAGAGGGGAGTAAGGTAGAAATACCAAAAATAGAAGAGGAAAGAGAATTGGTGAAGACAGGAGCAAGCTGGTGAAGGAAAGAAACAGCCAAGACAGCGAAGGTATTTTAAACAGTTAGGTTACTCAAGGACGAGTAAGGGAAAGTGCTGGCACGTTCAGGACTCAAAGGTTAGTGGTGGGGGGGTTACAAGCAGACCTAGCGCTTTTTGTCAGAGGACACAGGAAGACTGAATCGAGACCGAATATGGCTCAAAAAGTGAAGAATGCACCCGAGACTATAAGGAGCTGATGTGTGGGGATACCATTTATCATCCAAACAGGGACTTTGGACAGTGAGAAGAACAAAACAACAATTACGCCAGGATAACAGGCGTACACCAGGACTGTTCCAGGCAAACCAAGGGGCAGCCTCCTAATGGTAGCCAACTTCCAAGGGGATTCTGAAGACTGCTTAAGATAGTGGTTCTCCACTCTGTCAGACTGCTGTCCCACTTTTTGTAACAGATATCTAGTAACTCCCCCTTTATCATCCTGAATGGAAGTTTACTGGTAACCATCCATACAGATAATCTAAAAAAGAAAATAAACGTAAAACCCTAACTATAATATCAAGAAGAAATAAAAACAAAGTGAATTATGATACACTTATTTCAATATGAAAATGTTCAGGTGTGATTATTTCAATATGTAAATGCTCAGGCACATTAGAAGACATAATGAAATTGTCATAACGAATATTTGGATTTA